GGGTCTAGGCCCAAAACGTCAACTTTCCTGCTCCTCTGATGCTGCTTGACCTGCTGTGTTCATCCAGCTCTACACTTTGTTATCTCACATTTGTACGGTAGTCAGTTTTTCTTTCAAATATGTATTTTCAGGCAGTACGTGATTACGATCTGGAATATCCTGTCTCAGATTGTGGTGGAGCTAGATTTGATGGTAGTTTTCAAAGCAAATTGGACAAGCAGTTGAAGATAAAATGTTTGCAAAAGAAAAGTGGGCGAGTGGGGCTAGCTAAAATGCTGTTGCACAAGTTGGTACAGACTTGGCAGGATGAATGGTTATCTTGCTGTGCTGTCACCAGTCTATAATTTTATGATTTAAAAGTTTGAAAAAACAGATGAATAAGTTAAATTGTACCTAATTTTAAGCCTCATTGAAGGTTTGCAAATGGTGCAATTAGTGGAAACATCGATTGGAAATGGGACAAGATCAATCTTATGACTAAGACCTGGCCAATGCTATTTTAAAGATGACAAATAAGATTGGACACATAATCAGGTCTGGACATTATATGCACTGTGCATAATACTCACTTCAAAAACGTTGATCTGTTGTGCTTTTTTGGATGAAAAGGGACCTGCAGTCTCCCAAGGTTTATTTCTTGAAATTTCTCCCGAGATTTGGAGGGAAATGGGCAAGAAGCAGGCAGGTGGGACTAGTTTAGTTTGGGATTTATGGTTGGCATGAACTGGTTGGACCGAAGAGTCTATTTCCGTGCTGTATGACTCTGACTGTATGTTGGGTCTTTTGGTCTGTACTGTATGATTTTGTATTTGTTAAGAATGAGGAAATCAGCCAAAGAGCTTGAAATTTATTGTAAATAGTTCACACAACAGACTGGGCAGTGTATTGTTATCGACAATATAGACCAAGAAATTAACTGTCAGGACTGTGTGACTTCAACCCTAAGAATTTATATGCTGGTGATCATCCTACAGATACTTACAAACTTCGATTTTCTTTTTCCTAGTGCATTAATATTCCATAGTGCAGTTTGAAACAAAAATTGTTTGCATGAAAGAAAAATGGTCCTCAGTTTATGATATGGCCAACAATTTTGTCCATTTCTTATTCTTTGACATTGATTGATTGCATTGAGTATCCGAGGATAAATTTAGATGCAAATAAACTGTATGAATTTGATGTTTAATTCTTCCACAAATATAAGCCCTGAATTGATTTCACCTCTGAAAAACATACATAAATCGGTCCAGATTTTGCCACGGAAAAAACAGTGAATCTAACCATGCTCATCATTGCTGTAGAGCAAACTGAACAGCAAATTATGGCTTCTGTACTTGTACAGTTAAGTTCAAAGTTTTGTAAATAACTATTCAATTTGTCCTGCTCTTCTGCAAGCAATGTTAGTACCCCACATTTAGAATTCAGCCTTAAATACAAGAAGAACAGGAGTTTGCATATGAACGTATGAACTGGGAGCAGGATTAGGCCACTCTGTCCCTCAAACCTGTTCTATGATTTAATAAGATCATGGCTGATCTGCTTGTTCCACATTCCCACCATCCTATTAACCTTTTGACTGCTTATCAAAAAAATTATCTGCCACTGCCTTAAAAATATTCAAGGACTCTGTTTCCACTGTCTTTTCAGAAAAAAAGAAGAGCTCTGAAGACTCGCAACCCTCTCTGAGAAAACATCTTATCTTCATTCTAAATGGGCAGCTCCTTGCTTTGAAACAGTTCTAGATTCTTCCACAAGAGGAAACATCTGTCCATATCCACTCTGTCCAAACTCTTTGGGATCTCAGTTGTTTCAATCAAATCAGCTTACTCTTCTTAACTCAACTGGAAAACAAGCCTAGCTTGTCTCCTCTTGAAACAACCCACGCATTCCAGGTATTGTTCTAATAAACCTTTTCTGAATTGCTTCCAAAATATTTGCATCCTTCCCTGAATAACAAATACTGTGCTCAGTACTCCAGACGTAGTCTCATCAATGCTGTGTAAAACTGAAGCATGATCCCCTTACCTTTTGGATTCAATTCTCCTTCAAGAAAAAATAAAATTCTATTCGCTTTCCTAATTACTTGCTATAGCTGCGTACTAGACTTTTGTCATTCATACATAAGCTCACCAAGATCCCTCTGCACCTCAGAGATCAACAATCTCTCACCGTTTAGATAATACCATTTTTATTCTTCCTGCCAAAACGACAATTTCACATTTTCCCCACAGTTAACTCCATTTGGCGCATCCTTGGCTATCTATCTTTTCCTGGTAAATCTTTTCTAAGCCCTCTTCAGTTTAGTAACATCCTTCCAATAACAGAGCAACCAGAAGTGCACACAGCGCTCTTGGAGAGACCTCACTAATATTCCGCACAACCTCAACATGACTTCCTAATTCCTAAGCTCAAAGGTCTGAGCAATGAAGGCAAGCATGCTAAATGCCTTCTTAATCATCCTGCCTACATGTGATGCAAACTTCAAAGAATTATGTACCTGAACCCCTAGGTCCCTCTGTTCTACAACACTACCCAAGGCCCTACCATTAGTTGTATAAGCCCTACCCTTGTTTGTTATACCAAAATGCAATACTTTGCATTTATCCAGATTAAACTCCATCTGCAATTTTTCAGCCCATTGACCCATTTTGTCAAGATCCCTTTGTAATCTTAGAACATCTTCACTGTCTGCTATTGAGTTTAGTTGAATGGGAAGCACACTTCAACTGTGCTCATTTTGCTGCATTTCTACACTGTACAATCTGCCTCACCTTTCCAACATTCTGTAAACATTTAATAAAGCAGGATTACCTTTGTCATGGTTCATGCATATTTGCCACAAATTAATCTACTTCT